TCGCTAGCACCATCATCATTATCATCACCACCCATCACCACCACTATCATCATCACCATCATCACCATTATCATCAACATCATCATTAACATCATCATCGTTTTCATCATCGTCATCATCATCACCAACAGCATTATCATCATCCCCATCATCATCATCGTCTTCATCACCTTTGTCACCATCATCGCCATCGTTGTCATCGTCATCAACTGCGTCGTACCACCAATCAATATACTTGCCTTAGTAACTTAGTTACCAGCCCGTGAGGCGCAAATAAGCGGCAACCTTGCTTTGTATGTTTTTCTGAATGTTTTTCTGTATGTTTTGTATATTTTTTATACGTTTCGTATGTTTTTTGTATGCTTTGTAAGTTTTTTGTATGTTTTGTTTTATGTTTTTTAGGTTTTGTTGTATATTTTGTAACTTTTTTGTTCGTTTTTCTATTACAAAAGTATTTACGTAAAGCAGGTTTGTTTTGTATGTTTGTATGTTTATGTATTTTTATGTAAGAGCGTTTATAGAAATATACAATATATATATATATATATATATATATATATATATATACTATACGTGTGTATGTATGCGTATGTGTGTGTATGCATGTATATGTGTTTGTATGCCTGTGTACATATACAGACATATACAAACTATTTCACATTAAATATTCTATTATGTAGTTTTGTAAAAACGACATCAACAACCACAACCAACAACAAAAAAACAACAACCAACAGCAACCAACAACAACAACAACCAACGACAACAACATCAACAACAAAAACCATCAACAACAAAACATCAACAACCACCAACAATAACCAACAATAACCGACAACAACAACCAACAACTACAACCAACAACGAAACAACAACATCAACAACAACAACCAACAACAACCAACAACGAAATAACAACAACCACCACCAACAACCAACAACCAACAAAAACAACAACGACAACAAACCAACAACGACAACAAACCAACAACAACAACGACAACAAACCACCACCACCAACAACAACAACAACAGTAACGTCAACAACAACCAATGTATAGGCAACTTAAGGCCTTAATTCCGTATATCATGATCTTGCCAAATGAGTATTTCTATTAAATAAATTTTTTCCAGGGCTTCCTTTGCTTGGATGGATGTGTGTTTATCTACAATGCTAAAAATAAGTCATTCATACGGTGATGACGACGACGATGATGAAGATGATCACGACGATGATGATGATGTTAATTAAACGGAAGATGAAGCAAGGTTGCAAAGGTTTTGTTGTATGACTAATAAACTACTATTACTACTACCACTACCTACTACTACCACCATCACTGCTTCTACTACTTCTACTTCTACTACCACCACCACCACTACTACTACACTTCTACTATTTCTACTACTACCACCACCACCACCACTACTACTACTACTACTACTTCTACTACTACTACTACTACTATTACTACTAATAATAATGATAATCTAAAACTACAACTCATTCTTTTCGATTCACCCCTAAACGATTATTTTAAAGTATCTAGTAGTAGCAGCAGCCGTAGTAGCAGCTGCAACAGCCACAGTTGTAATAACCGCAGCAGCAGTAGTGGCAATAGTAGTTGTAATAGTAGTAGTAGTAGAAATACCAGTAGCAGTAGTAGTAGCAGTAACATAGTAGTAGTATCAGCAATAGCAGCTTAGTAAGTAATCAGGACACTTTTTCATTGAGACTTGTTAACAATGCACGAATTGTCTGATGACATTCAAAGTCTTGTTGTGACTACCTAGAAACAGTTGAATAGACACGTATGTATGTATATATGTATGTATGTATGTATGTATGTATGTATGTATGTATGTATGTATGTATGTATGTATGTATGTATGTATGTATGTATGTATGTATGTATGTATGTATGTATGTATGTATGTATGTATGTATGTATGTATGTATGTATGTATGTATGTATGTATGTATGTATGTATGTATGTATGTATGTATGTATGTATGTATGTATGTATGTATGTATGTATGTATGTATGTATGTATGTATGTATGTATGTATGTATGTATGTATGTATGTATGTATGTATGTATGTATGTATGTATGTATGTATGTATGTATGTATGTATGTATGTATGTATGTATGTATGTATGTATGTATGTATGTATGTATGTATGTATGTATGTATGTATGTATGTATGTATGTATGTATGTATGTATGTATGTATGTATGTATGTATGTATGTATGTATGTATGTATGTATGTATGTATGTATGTATGTATGTATGTATGTATGTATGTATGTATGTATGTATGTATGTATGTATGTATGTATGTATGTATGTATGTATGTATGTA